TATATTGCTAATTTATTATCAAAAATAACTATACTATATGCAATTCAAGAACGATTTCCCATTCGTTTTATCTTGATTGACTGGTTTTTGACATAATTTAGTTTTAATCACATAATTAACGAAGAGAGCTTTTTCGAATAAACCTTTTCATTTGAAATTTTATCCAAAAGTTCAACAAAACTTTCGTCGGAAATTAATAAACCCATACATTTATATAATTGAAAATGTTCTAGTCATGATATGAAATAAATTCCCGGATTTAAAAATAATTCTTCGAAAGAGAAAGGGATAATGTGTCGATCAGCAAAGTTGCTGTTATTGTGAGGAGTCATTTTTTCTCAGGGGATTGGAGTGCATTTTATTCGAATGCCTCTTCACTTTCTTCGGAGTCTTTTGTCTTGTAATGACTTCTGATCGTTTTCATATTGAATTTTTATTCAGTTATTTGCGGGGAAGGTGGAAATCACAATGGGGTGTTTAGTTATTATGATTCTGTGACGAATTTCACACGATTTTTCTTCCCGAGGAAACGAATTTAATCGGCTGTTGGGGATTAGATACGCCATCGCTGGGTAATGACTAGTCATTTATGACTCAACGAGAGTTGTTTTGGGGTTTTATTTTCATTTTCTATTGACATTCTCCGGTGAATCTGCTGGATACGCACTTTTTTACGTAACAAGATGCTGAAAAATGGGAGAAACCACGATCACGGAATTGAATTGTGCATTCATGCAGCGTCAGATATACCGGAGATACGGGGCATGCAGTAACATAAGTAAAACGTCTGGTATCTTAACTACGGTGGCACGTTCTACGGTAGAAATGGATAGATAGGCACTTTTACATTATCGTGGTGGGTTGGGTGGAGGTGTATGTACACGGACTTATGATCGGTTTTACGGAGTTCAATCTTGGAGAGAGGTCTGGGGTTTTTGTTTTATGTTTTTTTTTTTTTTTTTATCGGGAATGTGAGGGAATCGGGGAGATAACGGATGGACGAGCGGTTAAGGGGTTTCCTAGATTTTTGACTGTGTGAGTATTTCTGGGTCAATGGTATTTTTTGGTTCTTCGGGTTTTGCGGTTTTTCTAAATTGTTTGGAGAGGAGAACAAATTTGTTTGTGGAAAATCGGCTAAGTCGGTGAATTAAAGGGGTGAAGGTCGAGCAAGTTTTTATTTAAATTTGAAGTTTATTTTTATTTGTTTTTATGTACAACGAATGGATTTTTGAAGATGAAATGTTTTTTTGGCTAAAATACACTGAGAGAAAAAAATTGTTCTGCCGAAAAATTATATGTTCCCCTGAAGAGATCTTTTGTCGTGTTGAATCAATTTACTTGTGGACAAAAAAGAACGTTTCCACCAAAACATGATAATTTTCGTAATAGTAATTGCTGTCGTGAGACATTTATATGGCTTTCGGGTAAATACATTCGTTCTATAGAGAATTATATGAGGCTCCGGTTTTAGCAAGTGAATGTTATTGAGTAGTGTATATCTTCGTCCAATAAACACTTATAATTTCCATGGAACAAATGATAACTTCAAGAGGAAACTACAATTTTCTTGCCGAAAACTGTGTTATTGGAAAAACTAAATAATTTCGAGGGGAGAATTTTTTTTTGGGAAAAAAATATTCTTTCCTCGTCAATGTGTTCTTTCTATGGTATAAACCTATGGAGTTCTCTCAGATCAAATGATTGTCGTGCAATAAATTAGATTTTGTCCTGCCAACAGTTCGAATTCTTCTAGGGATATTTCTGATGACCACGACAAAAATTTAATTTTTGGGAAAGATGTTAAATTTTCTTCTATCAAGTTGGTTAATTTCTCTCAAATAAATCTGTTCCACAATTGTGAATTTTCACGAAATAAATGGACCAAAGTTTATTAAAATTTTGAACAAATTTTCGCATAATAATTGTTTCATTCCTCCTCAGTATTTTTTTTCGCCGGTAGAATAATATATCCTACAATGCATTTGTGTTCCGCGTTCGGGCTCGAACTGTGAACGCGTACAGAACAGAACAGAATAGAAAAGAACGAGCCCGTAATACGGTAGCCCCACGGCCCTCTCTCCTTCTGTCTCCGTCTCTGTCCTCACCAGTGCGCCTACCCCCTTTTACTTGCTTCTCCTGGTCCACGGACTTTACAAACTACGCAGTTACGCTTGGCCAACTCAGTGGTGGCAAGTGGTAGGGCCCCTCGAAGAGGTTTACAGCGTTGTGTCGATGCATACTGACTTGCATGCACACGACTACGAGTGATAGAGAGGAACGAGAGAGACGGGGAGAAGTACAGAGGCACTGACGTATGCTCATGAGACTCGTTACATGCTACATGTGTACTATTGGAGTGAAAAGTCGAGTTTGAATTGGTCTGACTCGGTGAAAAGAATCATTTATATGTTGAGGAAAAAGTTGTATATGAGGAGTTACTTGAAATGAGCCTGAAATGACAACTGGAAGTATAAAAAAAATTTTTTTGAATCAATTGACAATTTTCAATGAAATAGACCAATTTTACAAGAGATTTGAAGGTGGAAAATCAATTAATTGTTTAAATTGTTCGTGATTTAGATTTTTAGCAACACGATTCTTGCGAAAGAAAATAATTCACCTGACAATTGTTCAATTTAAATAGGTCAAATTGTAAAAACGGAATTCACGTGATTTATTGAAATTAACACAAATTTCGTAGATATTGTAACTGTTTGCTGAATAAAAATATACTTTACACAATAACAATCTACTTAATGTTGGGAAACTCTCACATCTTTTTCTGTTTAATGCATTTTTACCAAATTCGTATCGCTTTCTCGATAATTAAATTATTTTTGCAAAATTAACTGAGTTTTAGTATAAAGTTTATTCATCCTCTATAACTAAATTAATTTCTTCTCCACATGAGGAGGCGAAAGTCGTCCAATGGATATGTGAAAATGCAAAATCATATTAATTGCATTTGCACTCTCAATGTTCTTAATTTTAACTCAATTTAACGTCTAATTGTTCGCGGAATTCCTTATTCACCTGAAAAATTCATTAAAATTAATTTCTCTATGTTAGGCGGTTATTGACACTTCAGTGACAGCCAGAATTCTCAAACTAATCGCGAAAGCTAAGCGATTAAATTTTCAATTGAACAATAATAACCCGAATTTCATAATTCCATGAAAATTTGACATTACAAGATTTCTCATTGGAAATTTCAGGTGTAATCTCCCAACACTGTATAGAATAGAATTTATTTTTATTGGTGCTAAAATTACTGTGTTACACCTGCACAAGCCTCTCTTCCCCAACACAACAATAACAGTAAATAAATCCCAAAATTTTCCTTTAGGTATTGAACTGAATGCAGTCAACAAAACAGAATACATAAGACAAACAGATTTTGTCAGAAAACAGTGCGGTCATATGCCATCGTCCCGAAAGCTCTTAATGAATAAATAATACACTACATAAACGAATCTCTGAATTTCCCCCACCTATTTGTAGGCATTTTCCAGGCACTAAAAAACGTCTGAATAAAATGAAAACTTGTCTGAATTTCAAACATGAATTACGATGTTTGGGCACCCGTTCATCTGAAATTCAAACACATTTCCATTTTATTCAGACGTTTGTTAGTCTCTCAAAAATGTCTACAAAAAGTGTGTGAAATTCAGACATTCGTTTTTGCTGAGTCCAGATTAAGAAACATTTTTAAGACCACGACGAAATTTACCACTGAGTCTAATAAAATCCAGTGCCTCTCCAAATAAGAGTCCTAACCCAAGCTAATCTCAAACATTAAAAACCCCCCCAAATTGAAGATTGAAACCCCATTTTACCGTCAATTCCCCCAAAAAAATGAAAACCCAAATCCCCTCGTATTCCCCTGCCCCAGAATCTCTCCTCACGGGACACATATCGGTGCATATGTACGACGCTACCTCTCCCCTCCCCTTTTTTCAATTCCCCCTTCACCGCC